CAGGCCTTGGCCTCAGTGGGAGTGTCTGGGCCTTGGGAGGGCCTTGGCCTCAGTGGGTGGGCTTGTGCCTTGGGCGTTCCTGAGCCTCGGTGGCTTGGCAGAGGGCTGGTCTAGGCTGGGGCTGTAGAGGTCTGGGGTAATGGCTGGAGGGAGGCAGTGTCCGTATTTGATGACGTAAAGAATGCCTCTCTCAGTCTCTCTGCAATGTGGGTGCCCCAATTTTCCTGATGTCTACACCGATATCCCTCTCTATTTGTTCAGCTTTGTTATCCTTTTCTCTGAAAATGCAGCCTCCTAAGTGAGGTTGCTCTAGCCCTGCATTCCAGTGTCTGCAGTGGGCAGAAGCACTTGCCGGCGTTGGCGCAGGCCCAAATGCTGGAGCTGCGTGCAGGCAGGCAAATGCTTAAAATGCGTGTACTTCGTCAGCAATTTGATCTTTTAAAAAAACGAGTTCAGACTGTTGAAATATAAGATCTTATGTTTGTTCAAAGGCTGTCTGTCTGTTGGACAGAGGTTGCATATCTGCGATTCTGCCCCTTTTCCCCAGAGACTTCGCTACCTGGGTTGCCTGGTCAGGGAAGCACCGCGTCACTCTAATCCTAATCTGATTTCTTGACTGTTGTTGTGTCCATAATTTTGGTTGTGAATCTAAGAAAAATGAAGTATTTGACAGTTGTAATTTTTCCTCCATTTGTTGTCATTAAGTGTTGTTGAGTTGTTTTTAACTCATAGAAACCCATACAAAGTTTCCAAGAAGTGGCTGGTGAGTTTGAACCACTGACCTTGTGATTCAAAGGACTCTGTGGTCTAATGCTACTCCTACAGCACCCCACCAAGATTCCATGATGTTATTTACTGCTCCAATTGTGGGAATCTTCATTTTCTTTGTATTGAGGTGCAGTTCATACTGAATGCTATAGTCTTTGATCTCCATCAGTAAGTATTTAAAGTTGCCTTCGTATCCAGCAAGCAAGGTTGTATCATCTGCATACAGCAGGTTGTTAATGAGTTTTCCACCACTGCTGATGCCATGTTCTTCTTCATATTAGTGCAGCTTCTCAGATTATTTTCTCAGCATACAGATTAATTAAGTGTGATGAAAGGATACAACCCAGGAGAAAACTTTTCCTGATTTTAAACCATTCCGTATCTGCTTGTTCTGCTCAGATAACTGCCTCTTGGCTTAATGCATCATAAGCATAATTAAGTGTTTCATCATAAGTATAGTTAATTGTTCTGGAATTCCCATTCTTTGCAGTTATCCATAATGAGTTATGATTATGATTCACACAGTCAAATGCCTTTGCATAGTCAATAAAGCACAAGTAAACATCTTTCCACTATTCCTTTGCCTTTAGCCAAGATCCATCTGATGTCAGCAATGATATCCATCATTCCATGCCCTCTTCTGAATCTAGTTTGAGTTTTTGGCAATTCTCTGTGAACATACTGCTTCAACCATTTTTAAATTACCTTTAGCAAAATTTTGCTTGCTTATGATATTAATGATATTATTCAACCTTTCTTTGGAATGGACACAATTATAGATCTCTTCCATTCAGTTGGCTATTTAGCTGTCTTCCACATATTTTGGCATAGACAAGTAGATATGTTCAGTTCTGCTTCAGTTTCGTGTGAGATTTCAATTTGTATTCTGTCAGTTCCTGTAATCTTGTTTTGTGCTAATTCCTTCAGTATAGCATGGGTTTCTTCCATCAATAATAACAGTTCCTGATCATATGCTATGCCTTGAAATGGTTGAACTATCACCAGTTCTTCTTGGTGCAGTGACTTTGTATTCCTTCTATCTTCTTTTGGTGCTTCCTGTATTATGCAATATTTTCCCAATTGTTGTTGTTGTTGTTAAGTGCCTTCAAGTCGGTTCCGACCCATAGTGACCCTGTACAGGGATTCCGAGGCTGTAAATCTTTATGGGAGCAGAACACCTCATCTTTATAGAATCCTTCATTATTGCAAGCCAAAGCTTGCATTTTTTTCTTCAGTTTTTTCAGCTTGAGAAATGCTGAGCATGTTTTCCCCTTTTCATTTTTCAACTCCAAGTCTTTGAGCATTTCACTTAAATACTTTATTTTGGCTTCCCATGCTACTCTTTGAAATTTTCTGTTGAAAATTTCAGTTTTCTGACATTCTTTTGGTATTTTCTTTTTAATGATCTTTTGTTTAGTTCATATTTGTTGTTGTTGATATCATTCCACAGTTTCTCTAGTCTCCAATTATTTGTGTCTGATACATCAGATCTCTTATTGAGATGATCTCTAAATTCAGTTATAATGTACTTGTGGTCTTATTTTGGCTCTCACGAACTTGTTGCAATTTTTGTCAGCTTTAACCTGAACTTACAAATGGTCTGTTTCACATTTGACCCTTGGTCTTGTTTTAGCTATTGATTCTGAACTTCTCCATTGTCTCTTCCCACAAATGTAGTCAATTTGATTCTTGAATATGCCATCTGGTAAGGTCCATGTGTATTGTTACCATTTATGTTGTTGTAAAAGATATTGCAATGAATAAGTCATTGATTTGCAAAATTATTTCATATGATCTCCAGCACCATTTCTATTGCCAAGGCCATATTTATCGAACTACTGATGCTTCCTTTTTGTTCCCAGCTTCCAATTTCAATCACAAAATAGTTATCAGTGCATCTTGATTGCATGTTTAAGCAATTCATTCGCCACATTGATTATTGCTTGTAAGTTTTCCTGATGTCCAAAATTAGCTTTTACTATATAAGCAATAATTTTCTGTGACGGTACTAATAATATTATATGGCTTTATACTTGGTATTTAGGAGCTCTGGTAGCGTAGTAGTTACGAGTCGGGCTGCCAACCTCAAGGTCAGCAGTTTGAAACTACCAGCAGTTCTGCAGGAGAAAGGGGAGGCATTCGGCAGGAGAAAGATGAGGCATTCTGCACCAGTAATGATTTACAGCCTCAGAAACCCTGTGCAGAGTCACTATGAGTCGGAACCGACTCCACGGTACTTAAAAACAATAATACTTGGTATTTGATTGAGGAGAAAGTGAACTCTTAGTACCATTGAAAGGATGAAATGCCTTAGACTTCTAGAGTCACAGTTATAATCCTTTTTGCTGCCTACCCTCATGAAACATTGTGTGAACTAGCACTTATTTTTGTTGCTGTTAAGTGCTGTCAAGTGGGTTACAATTGATAGAGAACCTGTATAGGGTTTCCAAGAAATGGCTGCTGAGTTGGAACCTACAACCTTGCTGCTTAAACCAACCTTGAGGTCCAGTGTTTGTCCTATGGTGCCACACTAGGAACCAATAGTAATGATTCTTAAAAAGGAATTTTCCCTTCTGTCCTTTTAGTTATTTGTCTTTCACTTTGCACACACACAAAAATATAACAAACTGGAAAATATAAAAGGGCATAAATCAGCATATTTAATGACCTCAAGCAATATAAAACTATAATAGATTTGTAAAGATTCAGTAATAAAATCCTAGATATTTTGCTGTTAAAAAATACACCATTTGGAATGTTTGTTAATAGTACTAGTGGCAGAATCTAGCCACAAAGGCTTTATGGAGGTACAAACTGTAAATATTAAATAAATTATTTTATTCTGGTTTTTGTATTTGGGATCATGACTGATGAAAATTTATCCTTTGCCATGTCTTAGAGGTTGAAGGATCGTCTGTGCTATTTATTTTTAAGTTCATTTCACTGATTCTGTACTCTTAAGATTCATGCCCAGAATGTATATGATGCCAATTTAAAATTTTAATAATAAGCAGTTTTTAACAATCTTCAATGCCTCTTTAACAGGTACCACTACAATAGAAAAATATGACCTCAGGACTAACAGCTGGCTACATATTGGCACGATGAATGGTCCTAGACTTCAATTTGGTGTTGCAGTTATTGATAATAAGCTCTATGTTGTGGGAGGAAGAGATGGCTTAAAAACATTGAATACTGTAGAATGTTTTAATCCAGTTGGCAAAGTCTGGTCTGTAATGCCACCCATGTCAACACATAGACATGGTTTAGGTAAGAACTTAATGATTTATAGCTTTTAAAGATTATATATTTAATAGAGTTTTTGCTGTTGTCTGTTTTTGGTTGGTTGGTTTGTTCATTTGCTGGTATGTTTTTAAAGCAAATCCAGCTAGTCATTATTGGGATATAGCCAAACCCTAGATAAAATGTCTCCAAAATGCTTAAAAAGATTAAACAAATGTAAAACACCTGGGAAACTTTCTTCCTGTCATCTATGGCATTCTTATTAGTCCTGAATCTCTTCTACCAGTATTTGAAGGGCTTCCATTTTAGGAGGGTTGGCAACTTTTAGAAGGGATGTATTATTAAGGAACATAGAACCACAATCAGGATATTTTCATCAGAGACCAAGATAGAAAAGAGAGCACTTGATGATAGTCAGGCATTGTGGTCTAATTAGATAAGTCTTATTTCTTTCCATAAGGGTGAAGTTGACATTGTAATTTTAGCAAAGCCTTTGCATTTAGGCTCACAACACATGTATCTAGGAAAACTGCTTTTGTTGAGAGTTAAATATATGTTATTAAGTCAGAGTTTCCCAAGAAGTTTAGAAACATAAATTGGGGACTTCTTTAGAAGCAGTAAAATTTGATGTCCTGTTATGGTGCTGTGGATTAATGTGCTGGACTGCAAAGTCACTTGAACTGCAAAGTTAGTGGTTCAAGCACACCATCCGCTCCTCAGAAATCCTATACAGGGTCGTCATAGATCAGAACGAACTTGACAGCACTTAACACCCTTCTTCTTTATGCTAGACCCCATACATTTTCAGTGTCATAAAGTTTGTTTAAAAAATGGTTGTCACTTTTTCCCTCTTTTTAAAAAATGAACTTTGTATAGTCAATAAGAGGCAGAGTCTAGACAGGTATCTTTTGCTCCTAAAATGCCTGTTGTTATTAAGTGCCTTAGAGTCGATTCCAACCCATAACAACCCTGTAAAGGGTTTCCAAGGAGCAGCTAGTGAGCTTGAACCACCGACCTTGCAGTTCAAATGACTTTGCATCCTGATGCAGTAGCCCACAGTGCCAACCCAGGACTCCAAAATGCCTGATAATCTATATTAAATTATACACTATGTAATTATTCAGCTCAGTTGTGTCAATATGATTTTCAGATATAGCTCAGAAAGCATGTATTGCAGGAAAATCAAAGCACTTTTTTGGTTCATTTTGGTTTTTAATCTAAATGATATTAAATAGGAGGGGTAATGAAGATACACCTCTGCAATGCTGATTAAGATGAATAAAGTTCCTGGTTGTTATTTTTGTTGCTAAATGGTGGTTGTGGTTATGTGCTATGAGTTGGTTCTGACTCATAGCGACCCTGTATAAGGTTTCTGAGGCTATAAGTCTTTACGGTAGCAGAAAGCCTCATCTTTCTCCTGCTGAATCACTGGTAGTTTTGAACTGCTGATCTTGAAATTCGCAACCCAACTCATAACCACTATACTACCAGAGCTCCTTGTGTGAATTCCTAGAGGAGAAGAAAAGCAGTTAGAACTGAATTATTCCTAGTATGTAACAATGCAAAATTTTAATTACACCCCAAAAAAGCCCTGTATGGGCTTCTCCAAGAACAAGCAAGTCTTTTGCCAGGGAGTCATCAAAGGAAGCAATCAAGTTCCTTCAGGACAAAGCCCCTCCAAGACTGAAACTCAAAGGGAACACATGAGTAGGCGTGTAAGCTTTCTGATAACCATGTTGGTCTACTGGTGAGTGGAAGAGGGGGAAAGGCAGCAATGAAGAAATAGGCTGAGTTCAACCACATTCCATAGACTCACGTTGACCTGGAAATGAGAGAGAGAACAGGAAGGGCTGATTGGTCCAAAGAGTGGTGAGACCTGGGGACACCTGAGCCCATGGACAAGGACATAGCCATGGAGGGATACAGCAGAGAGTGAAGCATTGAGCTGATATGAAGTGAGGGGAGACAACCAAGAACACCTAAACTTGCAGTTAGTAACCATTTGACCTAGGCTTGATGACTTGATAATCAGAACTCAACTAGAGGAAGATTAAAGAGGGGAATAGTTAATCTTATAGTCCAAAAACAGAGGACCCTAGGACCATCAAGAGAGAACAGCACACGCAGAGTGAGGGACCCTATCCAGGGAAGCAGCGACACCAGAGATGGAGGCAGAGATAAGTACATGGAGAGAGGGAGCAGCTGAGGAGTCTAGACTCATGGACAGAAAGGGACTGGGTGCTGGTGGCCAGGAGACAGGCTTGCAGAATGTGCCCTTTGTTTAAATTATTATTTATTCCTCAGTGTTTCTGTGTACACCTCCCCCCCACACACACAAAAAAAGAAAAATAGGGAATGGAAGCAAATACTGTTGAATGATGATGCATGGAGAAGATTTTAATCATTGCAATGAAGCGATCGTGTAAAACTAATGTTCTCTCATGTAAACTATCACTCAGTTCACAATAAAACCTAGTCAGACAGAGCTTTTTTTTTTTTTTTTAAGTTATCTCTAAAAATCTATTTTTTTTAATTCAGATATATAGGGGGAAATATATATATATAGCCTGATGAGAAAGACCCATCACAGTTAATTTATGATTTGAAGATTTATTTAAGATTTAATTTCATATTTCTTTTCTCTCTTACTTTAAAAATGTTACATCAAAATCATCTTATTGAAAAAAACAAAACAATTTCTATCTCTAGAAAATGTTCATTTCGTTACCTCCTTTATATTCGGGGTTAAACATGATACTGTATTCATGCCTTAAAGTTCCCTAGGGTTAAAAGACTAGCATCATATGAGAAATGGTAAATTATCCATATGAGAAATTAAACTATTTAAAGCAATCAATAGCTTGCAAAATGAAACAATATCTATGATGTATGGCATATCTAGTTAAACCCGCATACTCTTTTCGTCTTTTAGGTGTAGCTACACTTGAAGGACCAATGTATGCTGTTGGTGGCCATGATGGATGGAGTTATCTAAGTACAGTGGAAAGATGGGATCCTGATGGACGTCAGTGGAATTATGTGGCCAGTATGTCAACTCCTAGAAGCACTGTTGGTGTTGCTGCATTAAATAACAAGTGAGTAAACCCAAACATTCATACTCTTTGCAGTATGTGGTACAGCAATTTAGTGGTGTGATGCATCAATCAGCAAAGCATTCTGAATGACCAAGACATTGTAGTTATAAATAATAGTCTTTCATTGAATCCTCTCGTCATGATGCAAGATATTTGTCTAAAATAAATATTTGATTAAGAAGTCTGTATGGCCTCTCTATTCAAAGTGTGGCTCTGGAACCAATAGCATTGTTATCACCTGAAAACTATGTAGAAAAACAGAATCATAGTACCAACCTTTACCCCCTAAATCGGTATCTTCATTTTAACAAGATTCTCATATAATGTGTGCACATTAAATTAAGGAAGCACCTTTGTAGGCAAACCAGTTACCCTCGGGAATTGTCTACTTTTTTATATTATGATTTATTCTTGCTTATCAAATCTTGATCTCTCTTTACTTATAATAGGGCTAATCATTTTATTCTAAAGCACTCCTTCCCTTAGGCTATCAAGTTTCTTATATATTGTTGTTGTTGTTAACTGCTATTGAGTTGGTTCTGACTCAGAGCAACCCTGTGCAGAGTTTCTGAGGAGCGGCTGGTACAAACCCCTAATTCATCCTGCCTTTTGTAAATAATTTTTTTCTTTCTGATTATGCCTAAAAGCAACCTAATATACTAAGACCTGATGATGTTAGAGAATGCTAAGATCTTAAATTGTTGTCTTTCCCAGGAAATTATATGTATTTTGACCTTTGGAAACAATTACCAGCATATAGGAGGACTTGAGTGATGAGAATGATAGACACCATCATGGAACAGTGACAAGATACAGCCTTGTGTGTCTGTACTGAATATGCTTAAACCCAACAACTCATCATATGAATGGGCTCTGTACAAATGTCAACACTGAATGTTTTTATTATCATGGCATGGAAAAAATATGAAATGTTAACTGGAAACTCAGTCTTACAGTGTCTTCTTACCCATAACATTGAATCCATTCTTGTTCATAGTGACACTGTATAGGGTTTCTGAGACTGTAAATCTGTATGGGAGTAGACAGCCTCATCTTTCTCCCAAGTACTGGTAGATGGTTTTGAACCACCAACTTTTTGGTTAGCAACCCAGTGCTTACACTACAACATCAGCAGGCCTCAATCACAGGGTCTTAGACCTTAAAATACTCTTAAATCTGACTTCCCTGACTTGAAATAAAGGTACTAGGTGGGTCATTGCCTTCCATAACAGGTTGAAATCATCAAATTTGATTTATTTAAATTAATTTTGTTGAATTGTTATCTTTTACAACTCAGGGTAAATGCCAGTTACACATTTTCGGTTTCATATTTATAATGCAGGAGTAAATTTAGATTAAATTAAAACTCTGTTCATCAAAATAATTTGCATTTTTAATTTTATGGGAGAAGTGTCTCAGGAAAAATCTTATTTCTAGATTCTCTACTATTTCCTCATTTGCATATTAAGTTAATTTCTTCTTAGTCATAAACCCTTTTTTTTTCCAAATAGAGTAATTCTTAAGAATAGCTGGAACTCTAATACAAGTAATCTTGGCTAAAATTGTAGGAATGGTAAATTTGGTCTTTGGAACCATCCTACCAACCCTTCTGGCATTATGCTTCTTTCCCTGTACTTCATTTCCTGTAATATCTAATTGCTTTGATAAAAATGATGAGGGGGAATGTTTGGGTAGGAAAGAACTTAACAGGTGCCTTGAAGCAACTATCCATTCATAAACTTAGTCCTACTTTTTCAAAATAGTAGCTATATAGAATATATAGTTAGAGACTTGGAATGCTTCATTCATGGTTTTATCAATGTCATTTTATTTAAATATTGGAAATGTTTTTACTATGTGTGTGTATGTGTGTTTGTCTTCTAGGTTATATGCTATTGGTGGACGTGATGGAAGTTCCTGCCTCAAATCAATGGAATGCTTTGACCCTCACACTAACAAATGGAGTCTGTGTGCTCCAATGTCCAAAAGACGTGGAGGTGTGGGAGTTGCAGCATACAATGGATTCATATACGTTGTAGGGGGTCATGATGCTCCAGCTTCTAATCATTGCTCCAGACTTTCTGACTATGTGGAACGGTAAAATAAGTCTAGTTATTCATGTATCCATGTATTTGTGTATTTCTTCAGAAAAGAGAGAAAGAAAAAATAAACTACCACAGAGTTGTTGCTGTTGTTGTTGTTGTTATGTGCTGTTGATTCAGTTCCAATTCATAGTGACCCTGTATAGGGTTTCTGGGGAGTGGCTAGTGAGCTTGAACCACAGACCATGTGGTTCAAACCGACCTTGCAATCCAGAGCATTAACCAGCAGTGTCATGCCATAGAGTTGTTATTGTTGTTGTTATTAAGTTCTGGGGATTCAGTTCTGACTCATAGCTGCCTTGTATATCATTTCCAAGGAATAGCTGGTAAGCTTGAAACACCAATATTGCTGCTTAAACTAAGCTTGCAGTGTAGCATATTAACTAACAGTGCCACACCAGACTCCCATAGAGTAGTCTTCCATATAAGGGGTAATACTTTTGAAGGATTGTTCTTGTTATTAAGTGCCATCAAGTTGGTTCCTACTCACAACGACCTTGTATAGGGTTTCCTAGGAGCATATGGTGGATTTGAGCTGCCAACCTTGCAGTTCAAACCAACCTTGCAGTCCAGTGCTTATTCTAGAGTGCCACAAATTCCACTTAGTTCTTGAATCAATATATTTTGGAAACATTCTCTTTATGTGTCGAAATCCAGAACAACAAACATATAGAATAATAAATCATATTGCTTTGTAAGCACACTATCAAATATAAAAGTAAATGGATTATAAGAATAAGAGAAAATGTTATGTCAAGGTGTATCACTCTTTCTAGTTACCAACTTGAAATAAAATTAACATTGCTGTTTCTAAAGTTCAATCAATCTTCAGAAGAACAAAGACTTAACAAGACAAAATCAACAAAAATACATTTCAAAGACAGATATATACATGCACATTGTTGTTAACTGCTGTTGAGTCCATTCCGATTCATTCAAACCCTGTATAGGGTTTCTGAGAAGAAGCTGATGGGTTTCAACATCCGATCTTGTAGTTTTCACAGTAAGTGCTGATCCTACAGTGCTACTCCAGGAGTTGGCAATTCAAACCCACCAGTTGCTCCTTGGAAACCCTATACAGGGTAGCTGTGAATCAGAACTGACTCGACAGCACTTAACAACAATATGTGTGTGTGTTTGAAATCATAGTGTGATGATGTAGGCTAAGCACTAGACGGCTAACCACAAGGTCAGTAATTCAAATACACCAGCTTCTCCTCAGAAATCTTATGCAGGGGCACTATAAACATAAAGATAAAGAAGGAAAACATTTTATGGATAAGAGCAGAGAATTTCCGTTTAATTATAGTTTGGAAGTACAATTGAAAGTACAAATGAGGACAAGATTGTCTGATAGCATAAAATGCAAAACTAGAATATTTTATCAAATAAGAACAGGGATAAATTTTGTGGAATGGACTATCATGAACAAAGCAGATTGGAGGGAGTATATCTAATGATTATACATAGGATAGAATGGAAGAAGAAAAAATCATGATAAAGAAAGGACAAATGTTATTTTTCTTCTGAGAAGCATACCACTGAATCATAAGTGATAAAGCTAATACTCAGTTTTTAATGGGATAATCTGATCTATAGTAGGACTGGAGGGTGGAAAGGCACTCAGAATGCGGCTAGGGGAAAAAATGCCTCCTCCAAGTAGAGAAAAACTCACAGAACCTTCATTTGCTAATGGGCCACAAATCAAAATGAAGAGAAACAGCTGTAAACATCCATTGAAAATCGGAACATGGAATGTACGAGGTATGAATCTGGGAAAATTGGAAGTTGTCAAAAAT